GGGGATTATCCCATCCCATATATTCATGGACTCCCTGCCCTTCTCCCTAAATGTACTGTTTATTTGGTGCAAAACCCAAGCTTGTTACAGGCAGCAATCCAAAGAAGCAACAGGGCTGCTGCCCTGGCAACAAAATTCCTCACCAGCCTCAGTACAGTGCCAGAGCTCCCCTTCCACTGCCTGCATACTAACTCCACCCACCTGCAGGAGGCCCAGAACTTACAAAAACAAAAGTAATTAAAAAAAAAAACCTTTTAAAATTAAAATAATTCCCTTCCCAGTCCCTGCATATGATTGGTCATTCATTTCTCTCTCATTACTGGAACATCAGGTTGACAGGATAATTTTTAAAAATCTGTGACTGCCAGGGCCAAACTTGTTAGATGTTATCTAATTATAGCAGTTTTGGCACTTCAGGGCGCCTGAGTCTACCAAATCCAACTGCATGGAGCAGTGGAGGGTCATGGACTGGGAAAGGGGAAAGACAACAACACTGAACAGGAGATACTTCAGGGAACTTTCTTCCACTCTGAATGGAAATGACCTACGAGGAAAGACTGAAAAAACTGGATATGTTTAGTCTAGAGAAAAGATGGCTGAGGGGACACATAACAATCTTCAAATATATTAATGGCTACTATAAAGAGGATGATGATCAGTTGTTCTTCATGTCCACCAAGGGTATGACAAGAAGTAATCAGCTTAATTTGCAACAAGGGAGATTTAGGTTAGATATTAGGAAAAAAAATTGATGATAAGGATAGATAAGCAATGGAACAGGTTACCCAGGGGGGTTGTGGAACCCCCATCATTAGAGGTTTTTAAGAACATGTAAGAAAACAAGAACGGCCATACTAGGTCAGACCAATAGTCCATCTAGCCCAGTATCCTGTCTTCCAACAGTAGCCAATGCCAGGTGCCCCAGAGGCAATGAACAGAACAGGTAATCATCAAGTGATCCATCCCCTGTCATAGAATCATAGAATATCAGGGTTGGAAGGGACCTCAGGAGGTCATCTAGTCTAACCCCCTGCTCAAAGCAGGACCAATTCCCAACTAAATCATCCCAGCCAGGGCTTTGTCAAGCCGGGCCTTAAAAACCTCCAAGGAAGGAGACTCCACCACCTCCCTAGGTAACGCATTCCAGTGCTTCACCACCCTCCTAGTGAAATAGTGTTTCCTAATATCCAACCTAGACCTCCCCCACTGCAACTTGAGACCATTGCTCCTTGTTCTGTCATCTGCCACCACTGAGAACAGCCGAGCTCCATCCTCTTTGGAACCCCCCCTCAGGTAGTTGAAAGCAGCTATCAAATCCCCCCTCATTCTTCTCTTCTGGAGACTAAACAATCCCAGTTCCCTCAGCCTCTCCTCATAAGTCATGTGCTCCAGACCCCTAATCATTTTTGTTGCCCTCTGCTGGACTCTTTCCAATTTTTCCACATCCTTCTTGTAGTGTGGGGCCCAAAACTGGACACAGTACTCCAGATGAGGCCTCACCAATGTCGAATAAAGGGGAACGATCACGTTCCTCGATCTGCTGGCAATGTCCCTACTTATACAGCCCAAAATGCCGTTAGCCTTCTTGGCAACAAGAGCACACTGTTGACTCATATCCAGCTTCTCATCCACTGTGACCCCTAGGTCCTTTTCTGCAGAACTGCTACCTAGCCATTCCCAGCTTCTGGCAAACAGAGGCAAGGGACACCATCCCTGCCCATCCTGGCTAATAGCCATTGATGGACCTATCCTCCATGAACTTATCTAGTTCTTTTTTGAACCGTGTTATAGTCTTGGCCTTCACAACATCCTCTGGCAAAGAGTTCCACAGGTTGACTGTGTGTTGTGTGAAGAAATATTTCCTTTTTTTATTTGTTTTAAACCTGCTGCCTATTAATTTCATTTGGTGACCCCTAGTTCTTGTATTATGAGAAGGAGTAAATAACACTTCCTTATTTACATTCTTCACACCAGTCATGACTTTATAGACTTCAATCATATCCCCCCTTAGTCGTCTCTTTTCCAAGCTTAAAAGTCCCAGTCTTATTAAATCTTATTAATCTCTCCTCATACGGAAGCCATTCTATATCCCTAATAATTTTTGTTGCCCTTTTCTGAACCTTTTCCAATTCCAATATATCTTTTTTGAGATGGGGCGACCACATCTGAATGCAGTATTCAAGATATGGGTGTACCATGGATTTATAGAGAGGCAGTATGATATTTTCTGTCTTATTATCTATCCCTTTCTTAATGATTCCCAACATTCTGTTAGCTTTTTTGACTGTCACTGCATACTGAGTGGATGTTTTCAGAGAACTATCCACAATGACACCAAGATCTCTTTCTTGAGTGGTAACAGCTAATTTAGACCCCATCATTTTATATGTATAGTTGGGATTATGTTTTCCAATGTGCATTACTTTGCATTTAACAACATTGAATTTCATCTGCCATTTTGTTGCCCAGTTACTGAGTTTTGAGAGATCCTTTTGTAGCTCTTCATAGTCTGCCTGGGACTTAACTATCTTGCGTAGTTTTGTATCATCTGCAAATTTTGCCACCTCACTGTTTACCCTTTTTTCCAGATCATTTATGAATATGTTGAATAGGACAGGTCCCAGTATAGATCCCCTGGGGGACACCACTATTTACCTCTCTCCATTCTCAAAACTGACCATTTATTCCTACCCTTTGTTTCCTATCTTTTAACCAGTTACCAATTTATGAGAGGATCTTCCCTCTTATCCCACGACAGCTTACTTTGCTTAAGAGCCTTTGGTGAGGGACCTTGTCAAAGGCTTTCTGAAAATCTAAGTACACTCTATCCACTGGAATCCCCTTGTCCACATGCTTGTTGACCCCCTCAAAGAATTCTAGTAGAGTGGTGAGTCTAGATATTCTTAGTCCTGCCTCAGCATGAGGCGGCTGGACTAGATGACTTCTCAAGGTCCCTTCCAACCCTACATTTCTATGATGCTATGACATGTGAGAATACCATCTCTCAATATCTCATATTGGAGGATGGATTTTTCAGCACCTTTTCTAATTGCCAGGTCCTCTTTGATTGTACCAAATCACACCTCACATACCTCTTGACCTCCATGTGTATTAAAGATAACATTCTCCCTACCCCTTCAACTAACAACTGAGCTATAGAAAATACTATAATGCCATAAATTATGGAAACATTGATTTAATAAGCTGACGTTTCCTCATGACTTTAGACTATTTTTCTTTTCTTTTTTTTCATTTTCATATAAACCTGAACCATTTATTTCATTATGCTGATATGATTTATATGTATGAGTCTAGTTTGGATACTTTTATATAGTCAAAGCATCTGCCAATTCAATGAAATAACATTTATGGATCAAATTTTCTGACATAATTTCCTTCCCTTAAAACAACAACGAAACTAAGGCTTACAGGGGAGACTGCCTTTATTTAGAAATGTTCATTAACATTAATATTCATGTTTTATATGATGCCTATAACCTAACCCAGTATAAAAGTGGGTCTTCTGCCCAGCTAAGATTTTTGCATGTTCATTACTTCAGCCTACAGTAAATCACACAGACATTTAATATATTGTTTTGTGTCCCCTGTGGTTTATTTGTAAGGATATTTCAATATAGTAAATTCAACATTTACAGTTATGAGTGTCTAATTTTAAACTGGGTCATTAAGACTCTGTTGGCTCTAGAGCTTTTTATTGCTGCCTCAAGCAAACTGACCTGCCAGCTTAAGTGTTGTAGCCCTGTGAGTCCCCGGATATTAGACAGACAAGGTGGGTGAGGTAATAACTTTTATCGCTCCAACTTCCCTTGGTGAGAGAGACCAGCTTTGGAGCTTACAAAGAGTGTTTCCCAGACCTGAAGAAGAGCTCTGTGTAAACCAGGGGTTCTCAAACTGGGGGTTGGGACCCCTCAGGGGATCACGAGCTGTCAGCCTCCACCCCAAACCCCGCTTTGCCTCCAGAATTAATAATGGTGTTAAATATATTAAAAAGTATTTTTAATTTATAAAGGGGGTCACACTCAGAGGCTTGCTGTGTGAAAGGGGTCACCAGTACAAAAGTTTGAAAACCACTGGTGTAAACTCCAAAGCTTGTCTCTCTCACCAACAGAAGGTGATTCAATAAAATATATTGTCTCTCACCACCTTGTCCCACCAATAAAAGGCACTTCTGGTGGGAGACTGGGAAGGGGATATACAGACACCTCTCCTTCTATGCTCCTGTCAGAGCTTCTTTCCTGGCAGCAGCGGTCATTAAAGACCTGCCAGTGATTTAGGGAGACCCTTGATCAAATTCCCTCAGAAAAAATAAACAGGATTCTGCCTTGAGCTGCGCCCAGGAGAATTGGACCCTAAAGAATGAGCACCGCACCATGCTGAATTGTTCCAGTGGGCACCGTGCATTCCTGAGATCAAGGGCGCACCCTCCTTTGAGGGGGTTGTAGACCCGCTGAGAAAGCCAGCCAGGGTCTTGGCTCTGCCCCTCACGTCGGTGCCCCCAGCCGCACCCCCCAGCTGGAATGGAAGCTGAGGTGGTTTGGCGGCCGCGTGTACACTCATGATTTGTGTTTCCTCGGCAGCTTTTCAAGTCAGCCAGATGCGGGAATAACCGTGCGAGAGGCGGCCCCGCTGCTCTGGGGGCAGAAACACTGAAGGGCCACAGCCTGCGGGCGCTGCCTGGCGAGGGGGGCTCGGCGGGGGTCAGGGCAGCAGGGGCGCGCCCTGGCCGCCTGAACGCACCGCGGCGGGACTGAGCCGCCTGGGAGTGCAGCGGCCCGAAGAGCAGCGCCCCGAGGGAACCTGCGGCCACCGCCGCAGCATCTGGCGCCTCGCTGCTGGGCTTCCTCCTCCCGCCGCCTCCTCCTCCCACAGGCGGCGGCTGCTCCAGCTGCCCGGACTGGCCGCGCCGCGCGCTGCCTCTGGCTCAGAAGCGACCCGGGCAGCAGAGCAGCCGCAGCGAGCAGCCAGGGCTCCCCCGCCGGCCGGCCGGGCCAGGTGAGTGCCCGTCTCTGGGGGGCGGGAGGGGAGGCACAGACGCGCCGTCTCCTCTGGTCGTTCAGTTACGGGCTGTCCAAGGGCTGCAAAGTTGGGAGTCTCCCGCCGGGGTCCGCCCCGAGCGGCTGGGCTGAGGTGAGCGAGGGGGGGACTCGCTGGGGATGAAGGGACCTGGCTTCCTCCGCCGGCACGTCTTGCCCCGTCCTATGGCAGGGCAGGGGGGGAAAGCGGGTCCCGCTGGGTGCGGGGCGGAGAAGTACCTGGGGGAAAGTTGCCCGCTCAGGCCGGTGTTTGCAAGAGGAGGAGGCTGGTGCGATATGTCTGGGGCTGGCCGGGCTGCGGCGGGGGATCTTGTTTAGCAGCCCGGCTCCTAGGTGAACTGGGGGGAATGTGCAGCCCCTTCCCGCGGGCAGCAGGCTGGATGTACTGTACACCTCTGTCTTCACCCGAGCTGGGAAAGAGCCTTGTTATTATCGTTGGGGCCAAAGCCCAAAGCGCCTCTTCAGCTTTTTCCTCACTTATTGCCTGGGAAATGTAACTTTTGCCAAGCTAAAGGAGGAGAAACTAAATAAGAGCCCCGGGATCTGGCCCTAAGAAAAGAAAGAAAAAGAAAGTCTGCTGCGAAATAGGGCTCACAGGTGTAAACACAGCTCTCAACCTGCCAAGGACCCAGCTTTAAAATATGCCACTGACCCTCCCATAAGAAGAGACAATCGAGATAGCAAAGGCGGAACGTGTGGGGCCATTGATCTACATGAGTTCAGTGGGGTTGCGCAAGTGTAAGTAGGGACAATGTCTTGCCCATGCCTTCAGTGGGACCAGGACTTGACCCAGTATCTGTAATAGGCATCACGTTTTGTTTAACCACTGCTCCGGGGTTGTGTTTCTGATATCAGGAATAAGCAGTGAGATGGCAACAAGTTTCATTATGATGTGGACATAAATATTGGTTTGAAATGAGTGACTCCCCATGTAATTGAGCATGTTTAAGAGGCACTGCTGCAAGGGGTTCTTTCTGACTTTCCCTCTAATCAAGAGTGATAAAATGATTAACTTATCTGAAGTAGCCAGTGCATTACACAATAGCGCAGTGGTTCTCAACCAGCGGTCTGGGGGCCCCAATTTCAGGGGGTTCAGCAAGCAGGACCAGCGTTAGACTCGCTGGGGCCCAGGGCAGAAAGCTGAAGTCACACCACATGGGGCTGAAGCCAAAGCCTGAGCAACTTAGCTTTGCAGGGGCCCCTGTGGCATGGGGCCCCAGGCAATTACCTTACTTGCTACCCCCTAACACTAGCCCTGGCTTTTATATGCAGAAAACCAATTGTTGTGGCACAGGTGGGCCATGGAGTTTTTATAGACTGTATCGGGGAGGCGGTGGGGACGGCTCAGAAAGAAAACGATTGAGAACCCCTGCAATAGAGAATACCTTATTTCTGTAATGTTTTGACTGACGGGTTTTTGATGTTTGGGTAGATCAGACTTTTTAATACCTGCATCATGGCCATGTTTCTGTATGAATCACAGTAGGCCAATTTTGCTCTTAGTGACACCTGTACTTGCCCATTGTGTTCTATGGGGATGAATGGGTGTAACTGAGAGCTGAATTTAGCTCAGTATTTGTTATTGCTTATCTTTTCATGTTACATTCTAAAACAAAAATGGTGAAACAGATGCATTTTAAACAAGATATTTTGAAAGTCATCTGGGTATGGTAAGTCATTTGATACTTCTGAGAGCATTCTGTGCCAAAAAAATAAAAATCCTCCGCACAATAATTTAAAATTCTGCAAATTTTATTTGTCAAATAAATCTGGAGGCTCCAGCATGGCATTGGGGAGCACAGGGCACTGGCTGCACAGAGGTGGGAGATCACTAGGCAGCTCCCCCCCCCCCAGATACAGACTCAGCGGTAAGGCTGCACCCAATCCTGACACAGCGCAAGGACCTGCCTGCCCCAGAAACACCCCAGGACCCTGCCCACTTGGTGTGGGCAGGCAGGATCCAAGTGTAGAGGGGCTTAGTGTGCGGGGATCCAGGTGTGGGTTGAGGGGATTCTGTGTAGGGCAATCTGGTGTGGGTGGCTCATTGGGGGATCCAGGTGTGTGTGTGGGGGGTCCTGGGTGCAATGATAAAGGGACTCTGCATGGGGGGATCAGGTGAAGGTGGTTGGGGCTCAGCAGGGTGGAGGGTCTGGGTGTGCGGGAGAAAGAGCTCGGCAGGGGGGTATGGGTATGAGGGGCTCAGTGGGGAGGTCCAGATGCAGCTGGTTGAGGCTTGGTGGGGTGGGGATCCCGGTGCAGGTGGTTCGTTGGGGTGGTCCAGGTGCAGCAGGAGTGGGGCTCATTGGGGCGGCGTTCTGAGTGAAGGGGATGAGGCTCGGCAGGAGGGTCTGGGTATGAGGGGGTCTGGATGCACAGGGGTTGGGCGGATGGGGGAGCAGCTCCCGGTACAGGGATCCTTCCCCCTGCAGCTGATGGGTGCTGAAAGCAGCGGGGGGTGGGGGCTTTGCAGAGCTTCCTTCAGCTGGGGGAGAAAACTGGAAGTGGGTCTGACCCACCCCCGGATGCCATGCAAAGAAAGAGGAAGTCCCGTCCTCCCAGTCCAGCTGGAACTAGCAGCTGAGCCTGGCGCAGGGTAGGAGTCACCAGCTAGGTCTTCCCCAGTCCTGCCTACTGCCCCACAGTGATTTAGCTCTCTGCCGGCTGCCCTGGGCCCCCAAAACATACTGCTGGGGAGGGTCGCATGACTGCTCTTGTGGCTCCCCTTTGCGCATGCGCAGTGGCGCAGAATTCCTCCTGGAGTAAAAATTTGAAACTGTGTATATTGCAGCCTATCCTCTTATATTGCCTTTCATGAGGAATGATGTGCATGATAATTACTGAAACCATCTTTCCCTGAATTTAGAGAGAAAAGGTGGGTGAAGTATAAGCTTTCGAACTTACACAGGTCCTGAAGAAGAGCTTTGTTTATGCTCAAAAGCTTGCCTCTTTCACTGGCAGAAGTTCGTCCAATGAAAGGTATTACCTCACCCACCTTGTCTCTCTAATATCCTGGGACTAACACGGCTACAACATCACTGCATTTCCCTGACTTTGTCATTTTGTTACACTGAATTCAAAGAAAATGTTTCTCTCTTTCATCATTTAGAGACTGTATTTATAAATGTTTTTTATATACAATATTTTTCTTAAACTCTTTTTATAGTGCACAGTTTTACATTCATTGTTTACAGTTGCTGGCTGCTGTATGTGTGGGGATGTTGTTTTGAACTGTGCAAAGAACACTAAACAAAACAATTGTAAATTAATTTCTTAGCTTATCATCTTGCATATTCTTAAAGTGGCAGATCTGCTCAGATTCCCTTTACTGTTTTCATACCCTAAAATTATGGGCCAAATGCTGCTTGCCTTCCTTTTGTCTTTAATGTCCCCACTGGAACTATTTGCATGAGTAAGGTATGCAGGGTTTGGTCCTATGCAAGGTGACACTGGTGGCGTTTTTGTTTTGTTTGTTTGTTTGTTTAAAATTTTTTGTCAATAAAGAGTTGGAAACAGTCATTGAATTAAACCAAAGAACAGAAACAGCTAACTTTGCCATGTTAACGTTTAAATATTACACATTACTAAGAAAGCACACATATTGTAATTTATGGCTGAAAATTGTTTAAAGAGTGAAACATTTGAAAGATGTCATATAATTATAAATAATGTGTAAATTGGAGCCAACAAAATCTTTTCACATACATGAAGTGGCAGTTAGATTCTAATGTTAATATTTTACCTGGATCTCTATAGGTCAGATGGAACTGTGAGCAAATTTTTCCTCCTTAGTACATTCCAAATTGAATTTCAGGATTTAGTATTTAATACCTCAATATATGTGGCTCTAGTTGGGTGAGTGGAATGAAGAAGGGACTCAATTCCCACTCTTAAATTAATTAGCTTCATTTATGCCACCTATATTGGGGGGTGAGGGGGGGGTTGTAGGCAGAACTCCCCTTGAATGCAGTAGTAATTTTGCCTGACTAAGAATAGAATGGCATGAGAGGAAATATAGGAAGAAGAGTTACCTTTAAGTTCTGACAGTTTTAGCTCTCAGTATGAGACATGAGTAGCAGCCTCCACAAATATATTGCTTTTAACATTAAACACCATATTTGGGTTATGAATGTTGTATTTTCAGCTAAAAGCTAGACCAGAATGTATTTGAAGGGCAAAATGGTAATCAATAATTTTAAAGTATAGAAATATGTCTAAGGGTTTTGCTCTTATCTCAAACACATGAACTCAAAAATATTGCTTTTGTAAAATCAATGTTGTGTACACATCAAGAGATTGATTTTTATAAAATATACAATAATAAATGTCTTATATGAAATTATGTATTAATGCTGCTCATTTGGAAATCAGTCCTGCATTTCTTATATGCCAAAAAATCCTTCAAAGTAAATTAGAGACAAGGTGGGTGAAGTAATATATTTTATCAGACCAACTTCTGGTGATGAGAAAGACAAGCTACAACAATTTGAAGTAAATTTAAATTCTGGGTGCCCAAGGAATACAGGATTGATTATATCCTTTGTGCAAAGACCAAGGGACAAATCCTGTTCTCCGTGCTCATGAGCAGTACCACTCATGTGAGTGGCTGATCAGAATTTGCCTCCAAATGTAAAGTAAGGATCCAATTCTGAAATTCTGCAGTACTTCAGTGTGAGTGTAATCTGCATCAGGACTGTGGGATCAAGACCAAGTTTTTCAGTCATTGTATATAAAATGTGTAGGCATTTAAAAGGTTGAGAGATATTGGACTTTTCATGTGTTTATTTTAGTCCCCACTTCAGGCTTTTCCATACATCTTAATGGTTATGTGAGCTGTAACTACACAGACAGTTCAGGTATCTGGTATATGAGCAACTCTGTGGAGTTGTTCCATTGTTGTTCACTCTTTATTCCAACAGGTGGGACTCAATATAGCACCTTATTAAAGTGCTGGTCATCTTT